GGACACATTTTTCCTTGACTTGTATCTCAGTATATTGTAAATGAGGGACGCTGGACCCGGTTTCCAGCAGGTGCAGCTCCCCACCAATAGAATGGAGCCAATGCCTGGGTTGCTAGTGATTGATGCTCTTATCATCATCACTAGCAGCTAGAGCCCGGTTAAAAAAAAAAAAAAAAACACTCCTTGCCCCACTATTTCAACTCTGTCCCGTATTCCAGACCGCGTGATAGAAGTCTATGAGATCCTGTGAAATACTAGTCCACAATGATTCCCAGAATTCCTTTGGAAGCCCATCCAGACCCGGGGTTTTTTCCTCTTCCATTTGCTTCAACCCCTCCCATATTTCCTCCTTCGATGTGGGCGTGTCAAGGACCTCCTTTTGTTGGTCCGTGAGGGTTTTGGTTAGTGGACGCAGGAACACATCAATCTCCTCCGTGCGTTTCTCTCTATCCGAGTCTTGACTCCGAACTTCCGAAGTAAACAGGTCTTGGTAAAAGTCTTTCGCTATTTTTGTGCAAGCGGCTGTAGATGTATGGAGGGGTCCAAGGTGGCATTTCAGGTCGTCCAAGGCCTCTATTATCGATCTCCCTATTCTGGCCTTGGCCTTGGCGAATAATTTTGCGTCCATTGCACCCTCCGTATTGTAATTGGAGAGTTTGCCCCGGATCCTCACTCCCTGCCACCTGTGTTCCATATAACTCATGAGTTGACCTTCTAAAATTTGGATGGATTCACTTAACTCCTTTTGCTGTTCTGGGTCATGCGGGTCGTCATCCTGCGATTGCAATTGTTGTAATTGGTGCTGTAGTTTTAGCTCCTCCGCATGGCGGCGTGCAGAGTTGTACACAGAGGAGGGTTACACTCTCGCAATGGAAGCGCGACAGGCAAGTACTTGGGTGCAGGGGCGGGATGAGGCGCGAAAAAAAAGGAGAGGGAGAGATAAGGGCAAACAGACGGTGGAGCATGATGATGCGCCCGCACGGCGTGGGAAGAGGAAGGCTGTTCTGCAAGAACAACCACGACCGAAGAGGGGTCGTCCAATTAACGCAGAACAGGCGGCACACGCAAGGCGAAGAAGGCTGAATAGAAGGCTATCGATGCAGCAGCTGATGCAAAAGTTGCTGCTGACAAAGCCTCAGCGGCCAAAGCCAAAGCGGCAGCGAAAGCTGCCAAAAAGAGCGCAGGTGGAGGGAAGGCCAAGAATTTCGTCGTTGTAAGTGACGACGACGATGAGGATGTCCCCGAAGAAAGTCCGGAAGAGGACGAGCCTGAAGGCTCGTCCATGCCCACAAACTCAAGTTCTTCATCGGCTTCCTCGTCATCTCATACAAGTGGGATGGAAGGCACAGACGAAGAAGGAAGTGAGGGAGGGGAAGAAAAGGGGGAAGATCAGGTAGAGGCTGAGTAGAGGGAAGCCGTTCGATCTATGATTTCATCAGTTTAGGTATCTGATGCTCCAAGTGCAGAGTTCTAACAGTGATCGTATTTCTGACATGAAGCTTTGAACTTCCAAATTTCAAACTGTTATTTTACTTATTTTTGTTCTCACAATGTTGAATGTACGAATAATAGCCGAATACATCAATTTAGGTATCTGATGCTCCAAGTGCAGAGTTCTAACAATGATCGTATTTCTGACATGAAGCTTTGAACTTCCAAATTTCAAACTGTTATTTTACTTATTTTTGTTCTCGCAATGTTGAATGTACGAATAATAGCCGAATATCTACGTGAGCTACCACAAAGATTGGATTTGATGGACTGGTTTTCTGTTCTGTTCGACGTGTTCGTCATTCGTTGTTGTGGATGCTGCACTGCGAATTCATTGCTGTTGTGAATGTGTTCTTTTGATGCCATGTTGCCGCGTCGTTGGACGGATGCCCTGACTGGCATCGCTGGTACATGCATACTCCGACTGCAGGTGAGTGTTTGCAACATTGCAACTTTGCAGCCCTCCCACCCCTCTGATTTGTCTGTAACTCTCAGGGGATGGCACAGGACTAAAGTGGGGGATACGGTAATGAAAGGGAACAAAAGCAGGGGTAGTGCAGGGTGATTGGGCGGGCTGGTTGCAGGGGGCCGGGGGGGGTCTGGTTGCAGGTTGGTATGTCCGTATGGCTGCTGAGGGCGGGGGAACAAGGCTCCAATCCATAGTTGCAGCGCACCGCACAGTACACAGTGCACAGCGCACAGCGCACCGCACACATGCGCCGCAACTATGGATTGGAGCCTTGTTCCCAAAAATGAAAAAACAAACAAACAGAAAGGATCTTTTGAGATAAAAAAAAAAGAAGATATTTTGATTCCTAAATATACGGTGCTTCCCTGGTAGTAATTTTCTGTGGAAAAACCTGCTTCTTTCCTTCAAGTAATATCTCAATCCTACCAGAGTCTTAAAAACCCTCCTCTCAAATCTTCAATAGCTTCTTTTGTTGGGTTTTCATGAATCCGATGTTCATTTCATCCTTGGCGCTCGCCAGGTCCCTCGGAGCCCGAGGATCCATGTTTCACGGAGAGGAGATAGTGCAACGAAGTTGCCTCTACCAAGAAAATTCGGGAACGCCTTCAACTTTTTTGTCCGTGTGCCGGCACGAAGTGTGGCGTCAGAGTTTCCATAGTACATGAAAATGGAAGGGAAACAGTCAGTAGTCTTGCCAAACTGATGGAGACATTTTTGGCATTTTTAATGCAATACCACCCATTTCACTTAAAACTGTTCGAACACGGTCATAAGTAGTACCTGCTAAAAAGAATAAGCTAGCACCAATTAAGCCATGAGAAATCATCTGACAAATTGCACCACTTAATCCTATATTTGTAAATGAACAAATTCCAATTGAAACAAAACCCATATGAGATATTGAAGAATAAGCAATTCACATAGTGGTATGTTACAACGGGACTGTGGCAGCGCACTTTCTACTGAAAGGCTGAAGAACCGTTTTTTTTTTTCTGGGGGTAACTAACGCCCAGTCACGATTTCAGTTTAAATCCACTTCAGGCATCCCTCAAATACATCGCATCCCCACCGGACCCTAAAGCTAGGTTGTATACATTCAAGATTTTCCTCCCTTTGGCACAGCATTCTCCAAATAGTGACTGAAGGGCATTTTCAAACTGAAACAGTGACTGCTCCCTAGTTTTTCCCTTTCCTTTTCTTTCCCTGACGCTTCTCCTTTCAAAATCCCTGTTCTTGCAGTGTACTGGTCACTTGATCCAATGAAACCCCGCCAAATAGGTAAGAGAACTCAAAGCAAGTAGAGTTAGTCAGCCGTGTAATGGGCAACTAACTATTTCGCACGGTTCGGAGGTGGAACGAAGACAATGGAAACCCTAAATATTTCTTATTATTCGTCCCCGGCATCTGAGGACATGCTGAGGAGCGTCTAACGAGGCCCTACTCATGTCACAACAGCTTTCCCTTCCACAAACTCTGAGAGATGATAGAGCACATCTTCCTGCAATGTCTGGGAGCAAAATTGACATGCCGCTTGTTGCACAATATCTGGCATCTTGGAATAGCGATAACCTGGGCAGCGACAAGGATATGGCAACATATTTACTCAGAAGGGACTATAAACCGGTCTTCCATGACTGGACGAAAGTTGATGCATTCAGAACCACTAGGCTCAGCCACCGACTTCTCAGACATGTACCGACGAAACCCACTCTATAGTTGATCTCCAGTGGTATGGGGATGGCTGAAGACTGCAGCTGAAGCTTGGACTCCGAGACAATCTAAGGAAAAGCCAGCATCCTCAAGACTCAGGGGCTCCAGATGACCCAGAGGACTACTAGGGTAACATCTAGGGATACAACTGTCTACGAATACTACTGTCTATCTGGCGATCTAAAAAAAAAAAAAAAGTTAATGCCGAAGAGGCCGTATGACAGACATATTTGCTAAAGAGTAGTTCTGGATTGACAGTCTTCAGTTGAGAAAGTGTCATACGCAAATGTATATGGGACGCTGGACCCCGTTTCCAGCAGGCGAACCTCACCGCCAATAATTCGGAGTGACCGACAGGGGGTACTGCAGGTAGGGGCTCTTACCACCCCCTCGCAGTAGAACCAAGTCGCTAAGAAAAATGAAAAAGGACAAAAAGATTTACCAATTGGGAGAGCCTAATGTCTCCTCAAGGCAGAACTTGATTGTTAATGTGCCCTCCAGAGATCGAGACCGTGAAGATCTCTCACCTGCATCTTTATCCTTGAATTGATCATGATCCAGACGAGTTCTTTCCATTCCGCCACCTCTCTCTCTCTCTCTCTCTCTCTATCTCTCTCTCTCTCTCTCTCTCTCTCTCTCTCTCTCTCTCTCTCAATCTCTCTGTGTGTGTGTGTGTGTGTGTGTGGGGGGGGGGGGGGGGGGGGGGGGGGGGGGGGGGCGCGGGGGGGGGGGGGGGCATGCCCACAGAAGGAAAGAAATTACAGGAACACAAAAGAGGATATAACCGTTATATAAACGGCTCACCATGACGTACAGAGGCAGACTCACGGTTGAACCCTGGACCTTGACATCAAGGCGGAGACGGACTGAAATAATTAAAACAAAGTGACATGGCATGTTCGTCCTGGGGAATTGGAAAGAGTACTCTTATTCGGCAGACGAGTTCTTCCACCATCTCTCTCTCTCTCTCTCTCTCTCTCTCTCTCTCTGTGTGGGGGGGGGAAGGGGGGAGGGGAAGGATGTCCACGGAAAGAAATTTAAGGAACACATCAGGACCCCATGTCCTCCGCTCAGGGCTTGCGAGGCCAGTAGGCAGACAAGGAGTATAGGGTGTATAACGGGACGCTGGACCCATTTTCCAGTCTCAGGAGCTTCGATAGACGGTAAAATGGGACGCTGGAGCCGGTTTCCATCCTGCCACAAGTGGATGTAAGCAAGTGAACATGGGACACTGGGACCGGTTTCCAGCAGGTGCTGCTCCACCAATAGATTGGAGCAATTACAACAACAACAACAAAAAACAGGTTACATAAACAAGCGCACCATAACGAACATAGGCAGATTCACAGTCGGTAACCGTTGAACATGGGACAGCAAGACATAAAGGAAAAGACAGACAGACATAGTACAAAAGAGTGAAACGGAACGTTGGTCCTTGGGAATGGAGAGAGTGCTTTTATTCGGACATATTGGTGATCCATGGTGTCGCCCTTCAAATCAACGACCAAGTTCCACAGCGATCATTATGAGCTTAAAAGCTATTATCCAGTTCCCCTCTCTCAAGGACGCCATTCAACACAAGGATAGGCAAATTAGAAATCTGCATCAGATGCACGTTCCAGCTACTCGCTATGTACTACTACTAGGGAAACGGCAGACCAACACACCATGTCTCATTACGGAACAGCACATTTTTCGTCGCTCAAGATATGAACATGGAGCGTAAACAGATAGACACTCCAACGACATGTTTCACGGAGATCAGTACTCACTGCTTAACACCGCGTTTCACAAGCTCTGCAAACTACATCTCTGCGCACAATTGCTCACAGCTTCACAACAAGTTTATAGCGCGCTAGGGCGAAGAGCTCTCGAGTCTTGAGTGAACAGTATCGACGGATTGTACCCTAGCCAAACAACTACACGCTTCACAACAAGTTTATAGCGCGCTAGGGCGAAGAACTCTCGAGTCTTGAGTGAACAGTATCGACGGATTGTACCCTGGCCAAACAACTACACGACGCACTTTCTTCAATCGCTGCCCTGCCTTCTGATGCGACTTGTGCAATATTTACGGAATCTACTCACAAGATCTCTCGATTGATGACTAGTCTCCCGCACCGCTGCCTGCCTCTGCAGAAGCCGCAGTCGGTGGGGCACCTGCTGTTGCATTAGCTAATTATACTTGGCACCTTTAATGCAGTCTCTGCAGAGGACTAGTCTCATGCACCTTGAATGTCGACTTAGCAGTGGGTTTTGGGAAGAACACACGCGCCCTCACTCAAGGCCTGCACAAGGTCGACACCGTCGAGCCCCGTTCGGCAGATAATGTGGCCAATAAGCTTCCTCTTGCTCTCGTCGGCGAGCTTCTTGCCCTCCAAGGCGAGCTGGGTGGCGTAGGCCTTCACTCCCTCATCCTCACCGGCCAAGTAGTAAAGCGCAACGATTATTCTCTTCTGCTCCGCGTTAAGAGTGTCGCATGATGGAGGAGCGGGGCAGGCAGGTGGAGCGGGACAGGCAGGCGGTGGGGGACAGGCAGGCGGAGCCGGACAGGCAGGAGGAGGACAGGCAGGAGGAGGAGCCGGACAGACAGGTGGCGCCGGGCAGACAGGTGGCTCGGGCTTGCATTCGGGGGGAGGAATAACGCAGACGGTTTCAAGGACGAGCTCCACGATGGAGACCGTCACCTTGTCAGTGAACTCTTTCAGAGATTCCGCCAACTCCTTGTCTTTCGCGGCAACAATTGCAGCCTTCACCGCCGACAACCCGCCCAAGGCATAGATTTTTCCATAGATCTCATGCCTCTCCTTAACGCTGAGTACGGTGACCTTCTCCACCAGCGTCACACCCAGGTGGTACCCTTCAGCATTGGTCAGGCAAATCAGCTCCCTGAGTCGGTCGCAAGTAGTATCCCTGGTGGCACACAACACTTGGGAAAGGATAGCCTCCTCGCCAAATTTCTTCAGCTCATCCAGGAAACAACGGTCGCCTGCAACCACTGCCGCCAGCCTCAGCGCATCAAGCCCAGCCTCGCCGAGCAACTCGCCATAGAGCTCCAATTTTGTAGAGGCCGACAATGTGGCTGCCTCCTTCACCAAACGGATGGAAATCTCGTAGCCCCGCAGGCCCGCGACGCAAACAATATCCCTCAAAGCAGCCTTTCCCACTTTCGTGGCGATGGTTACACACTCAGTCACGCAGGGAGGGCAGGCCGGAGGCGCGGGCTCCTCGGGCTTCGGCAAGCAAGCAGCCGGAACTGGGCACTCGTCCAAGTACCCTCCCTTGCACAGGAACACAGTGAGGTCCTGGACAATAACCGTCAATTCTTTCACGAAAGCGGCGTCCTTGGCAAGTGACACACCCAATCGAACGGCCTCGAGGCCCGCTTCTGCGAAAAGCTTCGAGTAAATMTCRCGCYTGTCTGMRACAGAGAGKGACTCCGACAGAAGCCTCACGGACAATTCATATCCAACACAGCCGGCCAACACCACCACCTGTCGCAAATCCTGCTGTTGCTGCGAGGCTTTCTCCGCCGCGGTGTCGCAGACATCGCTTGSCTTSGACGAMAGATTAGTGCCCACGGCGACCAATTCCTCCAAAAATACGCGATCGCGAGCGAGTTTCGCGCCAGCGGCCAGAACCTCGACGCCACCAAGTCGGAGGAGATCCGTGTAAACACTCTTGCGCTCCTCGGCGCTCAAAAACTTCCACTCCTTCAGGATTTTCACACCCAGATCATAGCCGGCGATGCCCGCCCCCAGGACAAGGATATCCAGGAGCTTCCGCACAGCCGTGGAAAGCTCTGCYTCGGGAACWGGGGGAACRGYCGGGCAGCAGACGCTTGATCCAACGGCCGCGGCCAGCAACTCCACGTAGTTCACCTCACTGCCCAACACAGCGGCCGCCTTGACGGCGTCCAGCCCGCCCTTCGTGTACAGCGACTTGTATATGSTCTTKCGTTCTTCCACTTCCAAGGTCGCCCACTGCSACTTCACCTTCATTSCGATCTCGTACCCCTCCACTCCCAACTTGCACACGAGATCCCGGAGGCTCTCCTCCGCACTCTTCAGGTCCTTCAGGGCCTCACCGGTGGCCAGCTCGTACGTGGAGACAAACGTCCCAGGAGGRAAAACCAGCGCGGAGACAGCAACGTCCACGCTCAGCAACTCCGGGAGAGCAGGGTAGGCACGGATCTCCACCAGCGTYGCGATCTTGTCGATGATCTGCTGCTGCACGTCACGTGTCAGGTCGCTGTTGCACGCAATCACCGTGGCCAGGTCACGGACCCTTTCCACTTCGACCGCCCTCAACGCATACCTCACCAGCAAGTCCACCGCATTCTTCTGGCGCACAGTCAGCGACACGCCGCCCCCTACCTTGGGCTCGCAAGGATCCTTSTGGAAGGTTCCTGCAGGGAAAATCAAACCCTTCGRCGGCTCRGCGACGAACAACGMGGGAAGGCACGGCCTTGCTGCGATCTTCACCAATCTAACGACCTCATCKAGGAGGCTCTGCTTGTGGTCCAAGTCTGACGGACACGGTTCCACGAGCTTCAASAGCAATCCTCGCACCAGTTCACGATCGCAGGTATTCTCCACCAGGTCCGAGATCTTCTCCACCGTGGCGATTTGGACGGCAGTAAGGCATGCCTGGGGSAGGCAAACCGAAGGGGCTGGAGCAGGCACCACACATTTCTCTGGGAACTTCAAACCCGCAGGCGCCTCCTTGGCAAAGATCAGTTTCAAGGCAAACCACCCGTCCGCCTCCACCAGAGTGGCGATCTCGTCGATGATTGCCTGCTGCGCAGTGAGGCCGATGCCAGCACAGCCTGCGAGCTTCGTGACCATATCCTTCACCTTCGTSGCATCCGTGGAGCATTTCACGTAGCTGACAATCCTGCYGACGAAGTAGCTCTGCCGAGCGTCAAGCTCAACGAACGCGGGCGGGCAAGGGGGAGGKGGCACACATGCGGGAGGGGGTGGCGGTGGSGGCGCGCACGGATCCGCGCAGACGGTACCGGGAAGTTTGAGACCTGCAGGTGGGMGAGCATCACCGAACAGCTCAGCRATCAAGGCGTATGCCTTRGACTGAACWAGACACGMAAGCTGATCCACAAGCCTCTGTTGGTCGGCAAGGGCGGCGCATTGGGAGAGGGCAATTCGAGTCGCCAGAAGCTCGACGACAGTCTCGCAATCGGCAGAGACCGCATGCTTCTTGAGATAAGCGATTGAGAGCTCCTGGAGGCGTGTCAAGCAGGACGGCGGCGGACATGCTGGAGGGCACGCAGGCGGTGCTGGACATGCGGGAGGGCACGCAGGTGGTGGTGGACATGCTGGCGGGCAGGCAGGCGGTGGCGGACATGCAGGAGGGGGAGGAGGGCAAACAGGGACGACAGGAGGAAGAGGGGGGATGCAGCAGAAATTCGCACTCGGGCGGGAGCACTTGACCCAGTAACTCAGCGAATATCGAGAGCATTTCTCAAAGACCACATCACCCAGACACTTTATCGTTTGGAGGAAGCACTCATCACCCGCAAGTTCCGCACCCAGCTTCACCGCGTTCACACCTCCCGCCGTGAACAACGACTCGTATATGACAACTTGCTCGTCTACCTCAAGCTTCGACCAACCCTCCTTGATGCGAGTCGCAATATCCAGACCGGTGACACCCAAAGCACAGACCAGATCCCTCACGATAGTATCGACCGTCCGCGCAGGTCCGCAGACAGGATGCGGCTCGGCCGGCGCCGGGCAGACGACGGGAGCGGGCGGCGCAGGCACGGGCGGAAGGAACTTCTTCTGCTTGCCGTCGGCATCAACGGATGCGAAAACGGGCTTCTGCAAAAATCCGGCATCGTAGAGCGCTTGCGTAGTGGCCGATAGTAGGCTGTCATTCGTGATATCGGTGCCGTTGCATGAGTTGGTGATGGCGCCATAGAAGTAATAACTGAAGGCGCCCACAGCTTTCCCTTCGATTTTCGCGTCCCAGCTCGACTGTCGTTCGTCGCTGGCAAACCAGGCAGAAGGAGTAGCGAAGCACGTGTCTCGAAGAGGATTCCCAGATTTCAACGCGGCGAACCTCCCCTCGTCCTTCAGCTTCCTGTAACCCGCCCTTGCGCCGAAATTCTCGAGGCCCCTCGTCCTCACAGCCTTGTTCAGCAGGCTGCGACACGTGTAATGATGAACTGCTGCAAAACGACGACGTACAAGGCGGGCAAGAAGAACGCGAAGTGCACGAAGTTAATTCCTAAGTACGTTAAAAAAAAAAAAAAACGAAGGTGACGAGTCTGTGAATTTGGACGGCATTCTAGACCGCATTCTTTTGCTACCACCACTTTTCTCTGGTCTCTTGGATTCTCTCCCTCCCACTCTGTATGGGAATCCTTCTTTTACGTTGTGGTAGATTAGGTGAACCAACTGTCGCAATGCCGTTCACAAATTCTCGTTCCTTCTGCGTGGTCCGCTGCTTCCTCGGACAGTGTCACACACACATAATGGGTACTGTGACAAACCAACGGTCATCGTTAGTGTCACATTCACACACATAATGGGTACCGTTACAAACCAACAGTCATCGTTAGTGTGACATTCTTTTCCCGTCACTCACGAGAAGTGGTGGGTTGTATGCTCTTCGTCCTGGTTCATGCTTTACCTTTTAATCTCCTGGCCAATGTCTTCCCTTTCGTTTGAGATTTTTTTGTTTTTTATGAAGGGCAACGACCTTGACATATATATCACCATTGAGTTAAACGCCCCAGAGAATTCACAACGATTATGTATTTCTACACAATTCCTGGGTGGGCCAACTGAGCTACACCCGAGGGTTGTTTGAGATAATGACAGTATGCCCACACCACAGTAGGGTCGCAGAATCGCAAATGGCGAGATCGCGTCCTTCACAAGGCCCTTAAAATCGCCCAATGGCAACTGGTGAGATCCAGTCCTTTTTAAAAGCCCAGATCCCGCCCCTGATTTAGCGATTCTGCGGTTATAAGGACCTCGCATGAGCATGCCAAGCCCCCTGCCCGCGTGTGATTTTGTTGCCCTTTTCAAACTCGTTTGTGCCACAACCGAACTTACACCCCCCCCAAAAAAGGTACGAGTAACAAAAGACCTACCGTCTTCCCCCGAACACAACACATCCTCATTTTGGCTGTATCTGGCCGGAAATGTATCTTGTATACATTCATTTTTAGGGTGCGTTATGTTCGGGTGAAGACTGTAGTCGATTCGGCCAAGCTGAATGGATGTCCATTTTTATGTGGGGGTAAATTCAGTACCCCCATATAACAAAAAAACGAGTTATAATTGCACTACGGAGCAAGATACAGTTTGCAATTGCACTTGGCGCACCCTACCTGCCCAGAAGGCTGGGTTGTATACATTGCCTCAACTGCGATTCGAAACTGTATCTTGGCCCGTAGTGCAATTATAACTCATTTTTGTGACTCCCGCCGCGTAGTTTCCCCGAAGAAAAAAGAAAAAAGAGGACAGCATATGTCTTTGTTAAACCCAAAGACTGCATTCCGCGAGTGATGAGCTAAACCGGCCGGCGTACCCATATGCCGGAAAAACCCGTGTGACTGTCTGACGAAAAAAAAAAAAAAAAAAAAGAAGATATAGAACTACCGGCAGCCCCATGTCTCACCTGTAGGAGCTAGACTAGGATTAGGAAGAGGACCGCGTGTGGCCCCATGTCCCCACTTGCAGAAGTACAGGACTAGGATTAGGACCGCGTGTGGCCCCATGTCCCCACTTGCAGAAGTACAGGACTAGGATTAGGACACTCTGCACTGTGTGAAAGTTTAGAGCCATTGATTCCCATTTGATGGCAGGGTCAGGAAAAATTAACCAGATTTTTTTTCTTAGGTAACACAAAGCATGGACTGAAATTTAAAAAAAAAAAAAAACGTCGTAGCTGCATTGGTGGACACTTTTTGGGATTCTCTGCGCGGCCATTAGCTGGTTTTCGTTTCTTGCATGCTGTTGGGAATTTACGAAATGAAAAAACGCTTGGAAAATGAGTCGAGCAAAGGGCAGCAACGCTGTTCAGGGTGAACAGGAACGTATCCGCATACAAGAACGCCAGAAGGGAGGCGCACTATTTTTGCATTTAGCGCTGTAATTCCTCCGAGAGAAGAAGAGGAGGGGAGTGGCTCAGCGCGCTCGCGGCTTACGATGCTGCGGTTGCGCTAGAAAGGCCGATCGAATCCAATCCGGGGCTATGGTTCCCAGGCAGGCGTCTGCCGTCCGATCCGCTTGACTTGACATTCAAGCTGCAGTTGGAACTTCCAGAATGTCCATAGCTTTCAGCCTGTCTCCATAGCCGGCTGCTGGAAAGGCAATACCTGCCAATACGTCACTAGTTATCGCGTTGTTGTCTGTCAGTAGGGCATGTTCGTTGCCCGTAAAGACGGGGGGGGGGAGGGGGAAGCTCTGGGGAGCTTACCTATTCTAACGGTGTCTGGTCTCCATCCGGTGGTTGGTGGTGTGGTCCCAAGTACTGGAGGACAAGCACTGCCTTTTACTTTTTAGGAATATATTTGCTGTTTGTTTCCCGATTGCGATGTCATCGGCGGAGTTTGAGCAGCGACCTGTTGGCCCCTACATCTATTTCCATCGCAGATGGGGTGCAGGAACATTGGCCCGCCCCCAGAGAAATGAGCACTCCAGGCTGTGAGGGAATGCTTCCCGGATCATTCCCTTGACATCGAGAGAGAGAGAGACGCACAGAGAGAGAGAGAGACGCACAGAGAGAGAGAGAGAGAGAGAGACGCACAGAGAGAGAGAGAGAGGCACAGAGAGAGAGAGAGAGAGAGAGACGCACAGAGAGAGAGAGAGAGAGAGAGAGAGAGAGAGAGAGAGAGAGAGAGAAGGGAACGGGTTGTGCACGGTCAAGCATCTGGTTTTTAACTTCTCCAGATCTTGGTTCGCCTCCATATTCGTGGCTTGTGATGTGATGGCACGGACATACAATACTTGCGCCAAGGCTTCGCGGCTGGCAATGCGGTCCCCACATTAGCCTGTTAACGTATTCGGACGTTAGCGCTCGCACAGGTGTCTCTTTGGAAACGACACACCCATGCATGCATTATTTATACCCACACGCACAGAGCTGTCTCCCTGACGAGGATCAAGACAATGTCTCGTTGCCCGGCAGAGGATCGTGTGTCCTAGGTTGTGGCGGCGATGCGTTAGTGCCCCGGAAGGGGGTTTTACATTGCTGCACACATCTTGACAAGGATGGCTACGTATCTTTGTTCAAGCCAAGCGCTGTACGGAGCTAAACAAGCAGACTGCAAGTCGATCATTGCAAGGATGGGCGACCTCACCGACTCCACTTCCGATCTTGCTCGAACGCATGATGAAAAGTGATCCGTCCTGCATCTGCATCGGAGAAAATACCTTATGCTTTTCCATGCTCTCTTTCTCGACAGTCTGCCACATTGACATTTCATCGCCACTTCGTCGCTGTCTTGGTAGTATTGCCACCTACGTCACTACGTGTGTGCCTCCGCGTGCCTACTTCAAACTAAGCTATATTCTTCTCTTAATTTCATCTTTCACTACCCACCTACCACTCCTCTTAAGCCTATACAGGGGACCCCTGGAAGCATAAGCCTATACGGGGAACCCCGGGAAGCATAAGCCTATACAGGGGACCCCTGGAAGCATAAGCCTATACAGGGGACCCCTGGAAGCATAAGCCTATACAGGGGACCCCGGGAAGCATAAGCCTATACAGGGGACCCCTGGAAGCATAAGCCTATACAGGGGACCCCTGGAAGCATAAGCCTATACAGGGGACCCC